CAATTTTTTGGTTTTACTGCAATGAAAAGAAAGGAATAATTACGTTAGTTGTTCTTCTGAGTAACCAGTATGATGCTTAAGTGTGTCAGTCCAAGCAGGCTTCTTGTTCAGAGTGCAGCGCGCAGCGTAGACTGCTGAGGCAGCAACCATTGATGGGCAGAACATTATGGCCTCATATTGCATCATACCCAACTCGGCAAGGAAGAATACCATGTTTTCCATCTATAAACCACAACAACTAATTAATGGGCTTTCAATCCAAAATTCAGTAACATTAGAGAAGACTGATTAGAAGTAATGTGTAGACCTTTTCATCAGGAATGGATGCCTTGAGAAAACGAACAAGAAACACGTAATGTGTAGGGACTGTCAAGGTCCATTCCAGCTTTCCCAGTATTGTTTTCTCCATGACCAATATCTGTTCATGTGAGTATGCTCTATCTGCTATGCATACTAAATCATTTACCTACACAAAATTCAGATTATATTAAATTCAGCCAAGATAAAAAAATATAAAGAAACGGTAACATAAGGAACGGATATGCTATATAGATGATATATACTAACCTCAGGGGCCCAGATTTCTTCATATTTTGAGGCCATAAGCATGGCACCCATGCCAACCAGCTGCAACTCCCTCCTTGGTACAACCTTAACTGAGAGGAACCGGTCAATTATGTTGATGGTGAGATAAAGGGTTTCAGGTGAAAGTTCAAACTTGAGATGAACATCAATCAACCAATCCACAAGAATTGCTCTTATTTTCTCATTTATGTCTGTTTGCAGATGCATGTAGTCATTGGGCCTGCTCTCGTACTGCATTCACAATCCCAGAAATGTCAGTCCACTATGGAGTCAGACACACAGATATGGTAAACAATAAATGGGATGAATGTATACCTCAACTGACTTGTAGAATTTGTAAATGTCTTCAACATATTCCACCCCAGCCAAATCATTATTAGCATCTGCTGCATCAATATCAACAATCACCTCCTTTGGTTTCTTTTCAATGCCACAGACAGCCTGAGATATCAATCAGAATTCAGAATTTTCCCCAAAGATTTTCAGGCATTAAACCACAGTAGAATTCAAAACAAGATGTTGAAAAATTCACCTTGCTTCGAGCAGTAAGGACTGAGGTAAGAGTGGGTGCTTTCTTCTTGGATGATCCTTCCCCCTCCTTTTTCTTGTTCACCTTCTCTTTTTCCTCCTTCTCTGGCTTATTATCCTTAACCCCTTCTTCTGTATCAGGACTAATTTCGATTACTTCAGGGACCTTTGGGGGCTTCACAGTTACCTTCTTCTGAGCTACCTTGGGAGCGGTAGCCTTTTTCACCACCGCAGCTCCGTCAAGGAGGACAGGAACTGCAGCTTTATCCACATTAACACATACAGTTTTCTGCATTGCAAAGAAAACCCAGAATAATCCAATTTGAGAAAACAGAACAAATAACAGATCTGTGATATGAATAGAAATCAGAACTGCATTACCCATATTCTATATTTCAAAAAATAAAAAAATAAAAAGAAGAAGAAAAAACCCAAGAATCAAAATTTGAGAATCCCAATTCCCAGAATCTTTAGCAAACCCTTAAATCTAGGGTTTTTTCAAAAGGGAATACCTTATTGTTCTCAGCAGCGGCTGCAGCTTGTGCATTAGCCAGTAATTGTGCACAGAAGCCCCTGTAATTATTAGCAAATAACATTAGAATAAGCAAAAGGAAGAACCAAAAGATAATAAAATTAAACATCTTTGTGTGGGGAAAGCGAAGGACCTTGTGAGGGGACGAGAAATCTGAGGCTGAGGCTTGCCGTCGACTCCCCGCACAGTAACCAGATTTCCGATGTCCCCCAGAGCACGGCGGTTCTTGCCATCACCAGCGACGTTCTTCTTGGTGTGCTTGTTTCCTGCTGCAACTGCCTCACCTGTGAAATAA